TTGCGGCCGGAGCTGGTCGTAACCCAAAAAGTTCGTGAACAGAGGCGTTCGTAGCCCGAGGTACCACTGTATCTTGTTGAAATTATCTCGACATGAATTAGAGAAGCAGATTCCCAGAATGTGGTACTGAATACACAAACCTTTGTCTTACAGTGCCCTGAAGGTGTCTATTATGTCCCCTATTATATCTAATCTGATTCCTACATAAATCATCCAGAATTTTTGAATTGGTTATTACAGATATAAAAATGACATATTTAATGTCTCAGGATAAACTGCATGCTACTTTAAAGATAGCGTGCAGCTGTCCTATTTTTTTTCCCCCCTACACTCTAGCTCAGGAATGCCCAACACAAGGAGATAATTTCATGCATCTCTCCCAAAGCCTTGCAGAATGGGCCAGTTACCTCCACATTATAATTTTAAATACAACAGAAAAGGAAAATCATTAAATGCACATAAGGAATCATATTGTCAGTAATTAATTTCAATTTAAATCAAGTTTAGTATTTGTCCACTTTTTGGAGTCTAGCTGAATGTGGTCCTGTGTTTCAGAATGATTCCACACTCTGCTTCAAATTTGATCAAATTTGATCAGATCAAATTTGAAGTTGATCTGGATCAAGACTATCCCATGACATCTACATCTAGACTGAATTACTTTTTATATCAAACTGCCTCTGAAGGCGCTTCAAACTATTCTTCAAATTGCTTCTGAAGCTGGTTCAATTATTGTTGAAACTTCAACTACAAGAGCATTGCTAAGTTGCACTGCTTTTCATCTGGGAAATCCAAAGCTATAAACTAGATTGGGAAGTCAAACAAACATCCAAGCAGAAGGCAATGGCCTGCTACTTCCATATAATGCCAAGAAAACTGCATGCATATGTCCTCGTAAGTCAGCAAGAACAGGACATGACTGCAAGGCAAATTTACTTCCTACAATATCTAACAGATCATTCTTAATCTGAAAGACCCACAAATGGGACCCTCTCTGTTGTGTGCAAGAGATATAATTTTTACTTCACCAGTGCTCCACTGCCATCATCATTTATTTATTTTCCAACAGCTTTTTAGATATTGAATAAATATTATTTATTTGATATTGAACTATTGAATAGCTCCATTCAGAGTGACTTTTTTTAAAAAAGTTGCTAATACAGTACTCGAAACACTGCTGCCTATGTACTTGATTGCACTTTTTTCACTGACATTCAATGTTCAGGCTGAAGTGGTATGTAAATTGTATACAAAAATCAAATAAATAAACTAAAATAGCTTCACTGCTTTTGATTCCAGCAACTGCATTCCTTTTACGAGTGAAACCCAAAGCCAAAGTTGGGAAGGATCACCCAACTTATTCTTCTCCATATACTTCCCCTTCACATATGCACACACACCTTATCTATGGTCCCCAATGCTTTTCAATCATGACAGCAGAACATGTGAGAGATCATGGATAAAGGAAGTTAAACCAGACAGCTAGAGAACACAGAGAACACTCCCATTCCTGTGGAGTCCTTGGGGTTCTCTGAGCTTGGTTGTTTTCTTGCAAACGTTTCGTTACCCGGCCAGGTAACATCTTCAGTGATAGCATGGAATGGGGTTTGCTCTCTGTTTATATACAGTGGCATGCCCTGCCAGTGTTGTGAGGGTGGGGTTTTTTTGTTTTTTCCCCCTCTGGTAGTTCCTTGATTAGGGTATTGTTTACTGCTTGATTGTATGTCTG